GGCAGGATTGGCCACAATAGGATGCGGTTTTGGTGTTACACTGTTAAGTCTTGTGTAATCAATGGTAAGTCGCCATGAGTTATCAGATTTCTTGACAGGCCAGACAGGACTATTAGTGGTAGATGAAGTTTGTCTGATGATTCCTTCAGCTTCCAAGTCTGCCACTATCTCCTCCACGGCTCGTCTTGCTTCAGGTCGGATGGGGTATTGTTTATGAGGGGCATGTATCGGTCCCTCAATAACAATGGGATCAATGTTGGCTTTGCCACAATCCAATTTGTGTTTAGCCCAAACATCCGGATATAAACTGCACAGAAGACCCCACACACCGTCTTTTTTCCAGTTTCTGATAATTGGTTTTGCTGTACCAACAGACCTTAGATTACATGTGCGATCTTCGTGTGGTATTATCCCAGCAGTTGTAGCGATTTGACGACTGTCAGTGAATATGATCATGTTCAACAATGGAAGAATGTCCATGCCAATAAGGCTTCCTTGTGAATTCGGCCCAACCCAGAAAGATGTCCATAAGACTTCATCTTCATGTATTTGCAGTGGAACTTGAATACTTTTGCGAAATTTTGTGATACCTCCTCCAACTCCTTCAACTTCCATAGTTTCATCTGTTGTAGGTAGGTTCAGATCTGTTATTGAAATAGCTGCTCCTGTGTCAACCAGGATGTCACATGGGTGGCCCCCTATTAATGCATTGACGAAAAGGCGATTGTCTCTTTTCTTACTAATACAGGGGGCCGCTGATTCCTATTGCGGACGCATAATTCCCTCAATGAGCTGACGGACTTGTGCTTCAGTCCATGTCTTCCCTTGAGGGGTTTCATTATGGTTTTTTGCACTGACCTGTCTAAATGATGGACCTTGACCTTCTGCTCCACCTCCTTTAGCCCAACAATCTATGTTGGAGTGTCCACGCTTTCCACAGTTGCTGCAGAAAATCACCCTATTCTTTGTGTCCTTGTTGTATTGAGCTGTTGCCACTCCTCTTCGATATGGCTTGTTTCCTTCTTCTTTATTTGATCTCATAGCCATCTCTAAGCGGCTAGCCCATTGCATAATTTGGTCAAATGTCTCACCTGGGTTGACTCCAAGTGATAAGGCTTGTTGGTATTTTGCGCTAAGTCCATCCACAAGTGTGTCAGTGAACTGTACATCATCTCTGTCAGGTTGTTTCTTGGCACAGAGAGCCCATCTCTCATAAGCATTCCACTTACGTAGAGCATATTCATCTGGAGATTCATCATCCTTTTGCTTAATCAATGTCACTAATGTGAAAGGAATTTTACCACTGCCCAAGATTTCCTGGATTTCTTTTCGGAACACATCTAATGCTTGCCAAAGACCCAGGGGTCGTCCCTGGCTATCAACCCACAAATCTATCCATTGGGCGGTTGTTATCGAAGCTGGCAAGCGTTCCCATCTGTCTCTTGGGATTTTAGCTTTCACAATGGTGTGTATGTCTCTTAATGACATTTGATGTGCTTCAATCAATGAGTCTAATTCTCGCCAAAACTCTGTGTTTGGATCTTGTCTCTTCAGAGGAGGCAAGGCTGTGAGAATGGCTTGACGTTCTCCTGGTGTGAATGGTCTCTCTTCTGTCATCATTTCAGATCCTTCCCTTTTAATTACAGGTGAAGAAAATTCAGGACCGATCTTGTCAATTGTGATCATGTCGTCATCTCTTGTCTCATCACCCCAGTCAGAATCATAATTCCGAGCTGGTGTACATCGCAGCATGTCTCTGTTTGGCTGAACTGTTTTAGATCTTGTTATTACCGGAGCTGCTTGTGCAGATGCAATATACATTTTGTCAACTGGGCCTCCAGTTGATCTCAAAGCTTGAGGCTGTGTCAGAGGTTTAGATGAATTTGTATATTGTTCAGGCAAAATTGGATAACTTGGGTTGTAAGGAGGAGGCGTTACAGTTGTTGCAGATTTCACTGGTGCTTGTGAATATTTCTTTTCAGCTTCAGTTATTATATTTGTCCAATCTGGATCAAATGAATCGTCATTGGTTGTATTTTCTCCATCTGAACATTTAATAGACATAATTTTGTTCAGTTTGTTATATGCTTCAATTTGAGGCTTCATTGCTTCAACAAGTGGGACTGGGCACCCATTGAAACCGCAACAAATTCCACCTTGTTTCAAAATCCAATGTGCGGCGAGGATTGGAAATACTTTTGACTTGATAGAGTCTTTCTGAGACTCAAGCCAGCTTAACTGTACATCAAGAGATGTGTTAATGTCCAGTCCTTTTTTCAAAAACTTAGCTTGCTTTTTCTGTTTTCTTTCTAAGTACCAAGCAGATATTGTTCTGCTGTTAAATCCACTTTCTGCCATTGAAAATAATTTGTCACTCTGTGTCTGTGTGCTCAAACAGCAGGGCTATTTTTGTGAGTGAGTGTGTGTGGGGAGTGAATTCCAAAGGGAGGGGCTCTCTGCTTCCCTCACTCTGCTTTTTCTCCCTCCACCTGCTCTAATTTCTCAAAGAACAAAGAAGGGGTTGGGGAAACAAAACAAAAAACAACTCTAATAATTTCTGTTTTCCTTTTTTTGTTTGTCTTAACTCAGATCAATTTATATATATATATATATATACATATACATACATATATATATATATATATATATATATATATATATATATATGTATTTTAAAGTTGCTCTCAGATCAGTCTTTTCCTCCAAACACTGAACAGCTTTCTTGTCAAAATCAGAATGCATGCAATTTTAGCTTCTATTCCATTGATACCCTTCTTCTAAGGGTTCAATCCTCTGCGTATTTACGTTTTAGGGTTTATTGTATTTTTTTTAATACTGCACTGTACTAACTTCAAGCACAGACCCGCCACTGTAAACCGCTATAAATCACTGCTTGTCAAACTATCCTCGTCTTCTTCTGAAACGATTCTTCGTGTATTGGATATATTTTAGAGATAAATCTGCCCTTTATCGCAGTTTCCCAATTTTCCAACCACCTTACAAGCTAATTGCTAAATCGCCTTACAGCTTTTTCCAAAATTTGACTAAGATGGTCTTTTTTCTAAAAAAGATCCACTTTCTAAAGTTTTTTCAAAAATGAAAAAGACTTCCCCAGCATCATTCAATATTCAGAGGTTTACTGACCAGAGCAACTCAAATTAGCCACATCAAATTCTAATTATTATTATTATTTTTTTTTTTTTCTGACACATATATTCATTGGCAAAACAACTGGTACTTTAAATAACACAGTTCTTTTAAGCAGTTTCAGTCAATGTCTAATCATCAGGCAGACTTGGAATTATTTAGAATAGAAAAAGTCTTACCTTGAATGATTGAGACAAATGCCTGAAGATGCAATCCTGTTCGTGACGCCAAATGTAGACTTGGAATTAAAGCCTCTTTTGTTTCCCCGTTATTATTTGATTTACGGGACCGGACACCAGTTATCTTGCCAAGGAAGATTTTTATTCTTATATGTCAGGAGAGAAACTTCAAGATGTTGTATTCATGCCAGGTCAATGCGTTTCCGTGTTTCTCTGAGGTAGTACAGTAAGATTGAGTTTTTATACATCACAGAGAGTCTTACAGCTTCCTTGTAAGGTAACAAAACATGTTGCTCTGAGCTTCTTAAAATTAGAACGTATGTCATACGTATACGTTATGCTTAACATGTCACAATTCACTTCCATATTAAGAACTATCCTTGTTGTTTACATCTGTGATACACTCACATCAGCGGAACATGTTACATTGTACACACCCTCTAAGCAAAATATATCTTCCCCCTGTCTGACATATGATCATCCCATGGACCCATGCTATCTATAGCCCCTCATGCATTCAAACTCATGCTTTTGAAACTTCATAAGATGATACAACTGATTATGAATATTAATAAAGAATAATAATACAGATACATAATATTTAATAATGAAATAATATTAAAAGATGAAATTTTGAATCTTCAGAGTGAATGGGTGAATGTGAGGCAAAATGTAAAGCGCTTTGGTGACCATTGGGTCTGTGAAAGCGCTATATAAATGCAGTCCATTTACCATTTACACAACTCCTCTTCAAGCGCCTGTTCTATCCAGACTGGACTATTGTAATGCTCTCCTGGCTGGTCTTCCAGCTTGCTCTGTCAAACCTCTGCAACTGATCCAGATGCTGCAGAAAGAGTGTCTTTACCGAGCCGAAGAGACACACGTCACTCCTCTCTTCATAAACCTGCAATGGTTACCAGTTGCCGCTCGCATCAAATTCAAGGCAGTGATGCTTTCCTGCAGAACAACCACTGGCTCTGCTCCCTTTATACCTGTAAACCTTTATATTCCAGACTTACGTGCCATCCAGAAGCTTGCATTCTGCAAGTGAACGTCGCCTCGTGGTGCCATCATCTCAAAGAGGCACAAAATCTCTTTCACATACCTTCACCTCTGCTGCCTAACTCAACCCGAGCTGCTGAGGCTGGTTCCATTTTCAAGAAACAGCTGAAGATGCATCTCTTTCGGCAACCCTTGATGCATTAATACTAACACTTTCTTTTCTTTCTCTACTATTCTATGTCTATTTTCTTTTTAAATTACGTATACTACGCTAGACTAAACTTGTAAGGGTCACAGCACTTGCATATTGTTGTCCTATTGTTAGTTTAACTGCTTCTATTGCTCTCCTAAATCTGAAAATTAGGATGCCTATTCATACGAATGGACAAACTCACCTTGGCACGGCTGTTTTCCACTCTTGCAAAAAGACACTCGCCCAGCCAAAAGCAGAACAGGATTTACAGCACCAGCTGTTACAGGACGAGCTCAGTCTATAAACGGCAAAACGGTAAATACAATAATGCCCCGTGAGTGCAGTTTGCAAAATCTTCACGGGAAGAGTGTGAGAAGAGTGCAGCAGGGACACCCTGATCGCTGGCATGATTGGCCTGTCAGTCTGACAGATGGGGCACTGAACAAATGCCTTGTGTCTGTGTACTGTATGTCCTACAGGTCATTTAAGCCCGACTTTGTCCTGATCCGACAACATGCTTTCAGCATGACAGAGAACGAGGACTTCCGTAACTTAATCATCGGACTGCAGTACGCTGGGATTCCCAGCATCAACTCCCTGGAGTCCATCTACAACCTCTGTGACAAACCCTGGGCCGTAAGTTTGAGGACATTCAATCTTATATAACCTTTAATTAACCACGAAAGAAGACTCACTGAGATTAAAATCTCTTTTACGGGAGTGTCCTGGCCAAGATAGGCAGCTGAGTTTACATAGACAGTTATACATCAAAGTTACGACATACATAAACATAAAAATAAAAACATCATTACATAAACATAAAACATACAACTGGTTAAAAACATTTACACACCATTAATTTACTCTGATGATTGCTTAATAAAAATTTTAATTGACTACAAGACACCACATTTTTTAATTCCATCTCAGTCTGGAGAAGATTCCCATCCGAGGCATATTTAAGAGGTTTACCCAGCTCGGTTCTGGCACAAGGCACACACAGATTGTGGATCGATTTAGAGCGTAATGAGTAATTACCAGGCTGCAAAGATAAGAGGACAGATAACCCAATATAGCTTTGTAAATCAACAAATACCTGTGCATTTTTCTTCTAATATTCCACGAAGGCCAACCAACCATTTTGTATAGATCACAATGGTGTGTTGAAAATCTACAGTCAGTTATGAATCTCAGAGCAATGGTACAAAGCTTCCAGAGAGACGAGAAGATAAGAGCTGATACTCTACATCCCCATAGTCAAACACTGCTGAAAAAGTAGCAGACACTAGTTTCTTCCTCGCATTAAGTGAAAAGCATGACTTGTTTTTAATATGAAATCCTAATTTTTTCTTGAGTTTTTGCCTCAAATAGTTGATATGTGAACCAAAACGTAATGTGTTATCGATAATAATACCGAGGTATTTGTACTCCGATACTGATGTAATCAGACTACCCTGAGAAGTCCGAAGAGAGATTGAATTTTCAGTAGAAATTTTTGAGTTTGAAAATAACATACATTTAGTTTTTTTCTCATTTAAAAGCAGCTTCAAGGCACAAAACTTATTTTGGATTACATCGAAAGCAGATTGTAAAAAATCCACAGATTGTTGCTTAGACTAGAGGAAGATGAACACTATATAATAGTATCATCTGCATAAAAATGAAACCTTGAGTTATCAATATTAAAATCCAGACAATTTATATGCTGCATAATAGCGGCCCTAGCACAGATCCTTGAGGGACTCCCTTAAGCCTAGTTCACACTACAGGATTATAAACCCGATTTAAGCCCGATTTGCAAATTGTTGAGCTCGCCGACAGGTCAGGGTGTTATCGCGTGCAAATCGCGGGGGATTAGCGGACGATGAACGCTCGACAATCTGTTAGTATGAAAGAGCCAACAACGCTTCAAAGACGCTCGCAGACGCCTCGCAGACGCGTCGCCGAGCCCAGAAAAATATCTAGCATGCTAGATATCCAGAGCTGTCTCCCGACTCAACCTCAGTGATGTCATGAGCTACAGCCAATCAGAGCAAGGCATGGGTTGCTCCAATCAGAGCAAGGCATGGGTCTTCGTCTTCTTCGCTGGGTATTGGCGCGCGTGCTGTTTCGCGTCATTTCCGGTTCGTTTTATTGCGTGATTTTTGTGTGACAAAACGTGGTTTGTAGACAAGATTGAATCGTTGGGTGACAGAGTTGTTGTCAACTCGTGTAGTGCGTTACCTCCTGTTGCAGATCAATCACGTTGTGTCGTGTGGTGTGAACTAGCTCAACAACTTGAACACTCCTGATTTCACAGAGAGCAAGTCATGTAGTGTGAACCGGACAGTTCAGCCCGACGTTTTAAAATCATGTAGTGTGAACTAGGCTTTAACAACCTCCAGTGGATCTGACTGAACACCTTCCACCTGAACACATTGGGTCCTTCCCTTTAAATAAGAAGTGAACCATAAGATAACATGTTCTGATAGTCCTACTGATCGAAGCCTTGTTAATAACATATCATGATCCACAGTGTCGAAAGCCTTTGATTAGTCAATAAATGCACAGTGTTTCTTGTCAACTAAGGACTCCACTATGTCGTTTAAGACTTTATAAACGGCTGTAGACGTACTGTACCCTTTACCGAATCCGGATTGGTTAATAGACTAAATATTATGACTATTTAAATACGGTGTCAATTGCTCACTAACTAATTTTTCCAGGAGTTTCAAAAGAATACAGAGTTTAGATATGGGTCTATAATTGTCCATTAAAGAGGGATCACCCCCTTTGGACAGAGGAACAACAAATGCTGATTTCCAGATCCGTGGAATTTTGTTAGTTAATAAAGAAAGGTTAAACAAATACGTCAGTGAGGGAGAAATAAGATCAGAAAAACAACGGAGCTATATGGTCAGGACCTGGAGATTTATTGCCATCCAGTTCTTTTAAAGCAGAACAGACATCAGAGCAAATCATTTGTTCAAAAGCAAACTTTCTTCTGCTTCCAGAAATTCTACGTTTGAATTTATATAATTATTTGTTTTAAATAAAGACCCTGATATGATAAAAATTGTATTAAAACTATCAAGCATTTGCTTTTTAGCTACAATTTTGATGGAATCTTTCATTATACTGGAAGGAAGGTCTGTAGTGGTTTATTACCAGTTAAGAACTTGAAATTCCTCCAAAACTTCCTAGAGTTTGTTGAATTTTTTTGTAGTTTTATCAAGAAAATAATATGATTTTGCCTTTCTGGTCTCCACAGTGCATTTATTTCAGGACATGGCGTTTGATAGGTATCTGATATCTCCAACCTCATCTCTCTAAACTTATTTGCAGTTTGCGTGTCTGATCAGCACATACAAGAGACTCGGACTGGAGAAATTCCCATTAATTGAACAGACGTTCTACCCCAACTATAAAGAAATGGTAAGAGATTGTTTCATAAACTGTGCTTTTTTTTCAGCAATGTGATCAATTACTATTATCTGCATAATTAAATGAATACATAATCTGTTTGTGCGAAAACAAACCAGGTGACCATGCCGGCATTCCCCGTTGTGGTGAAAATCGGGCACGCTCACGCTGGTGTGGGGAAGGTAACGCTGAGACTCAAACAATGACTGTAGAAGAAGAGCTCTGTGATTATGTAGTTAAGCATCTAATCTAATCGTATGTGTTGTTAAGGTGAAAGTGGAGAACCACACCAAGTTTCAGGACATCGCTAGTGTGGTGGCCATCACTCAGACATACAGCACATGTGAACCTTTCATCGAACCCAAGTATGACATCAGGATCCAGAAAATTGGAAATGATTACAAAGCTTACATGTGAGTAAAGATGCTATTCTGTAGAGTTTCTGAACACATCTCAGATTCAGCTAATGCTGTTCTTGACAGATGAAGAATGCTCCTCGTTTCCTAGGAGGACGTCGGTGTCAGGTGACTGGAAGTCCAGCACTGGCACTGCCATGGTGGAGCAGGTGGCCATGACGGACAGGTAACACACACAGCAACGGCAAGCCTTGCAGCTTCTGCTACCGGTAAGCAGATCTGCTTTAACATGGCTAAGCATGTCGCGTTGTCTTGCAGGTATAAGCTTTGGGTAGACACCTGCTGCGAAATATTTGGAGGCCTTGAAATTTGTGCTGTAAAAGCCATTCATGGAAAAGATGGAAAAGATTACATTACTGAGGTATGTGCTGTACTTAAAATGGCTTGGAAGAGTTGCATACAGGTTGTACAGATGTGATATATAAAGACATTGTAGAGGTCTGTATCTTCAACCATTGTGTTTTACTCTTCACGTAATTTCACTAATACCTGTGTTTGTTTGTGTAGGTAATGGGTTCGTCTATGCCTTTAGAGGGGGACCATCAGGCTGAGGACCAGCAGCTCATAGCAGACATGGTCATCGCCAAAATGAATCATGTTATGTCCCAAAATCCCAAAAGACCAACTGCTACTCAACCAAAACAGGTACATGATGTAACAACACACTGTAAAGACAAGACGAGACGAAGCAACCCTTTGTACTCATTCCCCTGGTTTCCGACAACTCAAATATTTTGTTCATATAATAGGTAACTGACAAAGACTTATGCCTAAGCAACTAAATGTTGTTAAGAATTTAGCAATGCAAGGAACAACAATATGTAGGGTTTCCCCCTACTGTTTCAAAGCCTACTGAGGCAAAACTATTACCTTGATAGGCAAATATGAAATCTAAAAGGTGCAATGAGAGGCACATTTACCTCAAATGTACCTTACAAATCTCAAAAACTAATGAATGAATGATGATCAACAAATATTAGTGAAGAAGAAATTTGAACTCTGTATGTTAACATACATTAGTTCTGTTTATATACAATAATAAATTACTCCTCCAACTAAAAACAAAATCTATGTTCAAGCTTCATCACATTTGTTAGGAGAACATTTTGCAAGTTGAATGTTTTCTATAGTGCAAAACAAAGTACAAGCGTGTCAACAGCTGGGATGCTCTGTTGTGCACGTCACATGTATGAGCAGACGTGTGTGTGTGTGTGTGTGTTTCAGGTCACTGTTGAAAAGGACGCGTTGGTTGAAGTGAAGAACGGCCCGCCGCAGAAAGCTCCTCCTCAAGGCTGTTTGCAGTATATTCTCGACTGTAATGGTGTTGCTGTGGGACCAAAGCTAGTGCAGGCAAACTAACACAACCATGAAGAACTGCTGACAGGTTGTGTTCGAACATTCAAACAGTGGCCTGGGGTGCGAGTGAACAAATAATGGGTAAGAAGTGTTAGTTTGGGCCTGATCTGTCTTTCAGTGTGTACTGTGTAACGCTCACTGTTGTGCGCTTGTGACGGTTGCTTTTGTTTCTGTGTGAAGCGGTCTTCTCTTCAGGGCTGTTGTGTGTGGTGATACAGCAGATTGTGCCTAGTGCTCTCTCAATTGTACTTTATATATATATTTTCTTGTCTTATGTCTATGTTTCAGTAAATTGTGGACAAAGGGTGTGTGTGTGTGTGTGTACATGAAAGAAAGGAGACTATAAAACGTAAATGAATACTTTAATTGCATGATCGAAATTGTGTGTCATTGTGTGTTGAACGGTGAGGTGTGTGTTTTTCTTTTGTGATCACTGTTGAAATAATAGATATCATTCTTGCACTCTAGTATTGTAAATGTGTTATAAAATATGGTGAAATATATTTCCTACATTGAATGAAAGCTGTATTACTGGACATCTGTCATTTTTGGGTTGCAAAAATGTGAACAATTTGTTTCTTGTTAACAATATTATTGCAGAATAGCAAATTAAATAAATAATAAGCAATAAAAATATAACTCTGAACAACCACTGATCACTCTATATTTTTTAACGTCTATTAATTTCATGATACACAAACCCCGTCAACAAAATTTGTGATCTAAACATCCTAATTTATCAATGAAAACACTAAATAAAAATCACAAAGTAACAAAATTATCACATTTTGAGACGTTTTGAGTAATTTACGAAAACACTTTATTTTAAAATATCCTTGTTGCAAGTTACATGTTTTTATCATAGTAATAAGTGTATTCTACATAATTACATGCAACTAAGCCAAACCTTGATCATATTGTCAGTCTGACTCTGTTCTCGCTCATCATCGTCATCTTCATCACAGTCATCACTCTGTTCGAAATTATTACTTAGTACTTAATTGTATAATTAAACTGTAACAAAGACACCTTAAAATAAAGGGTAACACTTACAACTTCATGTACTTACCGGTACTATAAGGTTAGGGAAGGATTAGGATTTGGTTGAGGGTTAGTTGTATGTAATTATGCATAATTTACTGTTATTACTATGGTAATGTAATATGTATCAAGGACACTGTAAAATAAAGTGTAATGAAGAAAAATGTAAGTGTTTTTATTACAGTATCTTGTGTTGAATGGCTGACTTTGACAAATGCAGTCATCTACAATTTTTAATACAACCTTAGGGGCGAAATAAGGTTGTAATCGGGGGGGGGGGTTGGGTTTGCTGGGGCGATCAAGGAAAGTAGTCTACCCGTAACATGAAGCTGAGTGAGGAAATGGGTCATATGGTTAACTTTACCTGAGCTGTTGAATTAGATATGTTAGGACAAAGAACATAATGTGTTTAAAATGCATATACACAGTACAGTTGAATAATAATAGACCGCCCATTTACCGACGCTCAGTGCGAGCTTCGTGGCCTTGGAAGGATGCCGCCTCTGAACGGGACACGGCTCTGAACGGGACACAGCTCTGAACGGGACACAGCTCTGAACGGGACACGGCTCTGAACGGGACACGGCTCTGAACGGGACACGGCTACCGTCTGGCCTCGTAACGTCTCGAAGGACTGTCGCTCTCCTCAGGAACTCGCCTCGTGTTACTGAGCTGTGGGACTGCTGCTGTCTCATGGATTCCTGGAACTCTGCTTGTAACCTTTATTTGTGTATTTACCCATCTATGGACCCGTGTGGAGAAAGACTTTAAGTTAAGGGACTGTTTGATGTTAACCCCGCTTCAAGGAAATGTGATGAATGTTTCTGTTTGTGATTTACTCCTGTGGATAATGGTAATTCTGTGTACAATGTGTTATACTAACCTGAAGCCCTGAACAAACTGATTGTCCTTTGTTGAGATATTTCCTGGAAGCTGGCATGACTGCGATCCTTCTGTGGATGTGCTTCCCAGTGTGTGTGTGTTCTGTGTATGGCCAGCAGTTTCCCAGCGAACACCTGCCTGTGGTGACTCCTGTATACTGTCCTGTGTTTGCTTTAATAAACACACCTGTGTCCTGACAATGTCTATCAGTGAGTTGCGTTACAGCTACAGCCAGTTATTCCCCTGGGAACTGTGATTTCCGAGTGGGAACGTGTGTTTTAGTTGTGGTCTGTGTGACTCCGCCCAGTGCCAGCATTCCCACACCCCGGGTCGCCAGTTGGAGGAAAACACAGAGTGTTGCAGCCATGGCAGCCAGCAAACATACTGGGTCAGAGATCGCAGATTACACCCGACTACAAGCCCCAGAATCCATCTGAAAAACTCTGACCAGAGGCATATTAAACCGCAGATACAGTGGGGAGAACAAGTATTTGATACACTGCCGATTTTGCAGGTTTTCCAACTTACAAAGCATGTAGAAGTCTGTAATTTTTATCATAGTGTGATACTCTTCAACTGTGAGTGACGGAATCTAAAACAAAAATCCAGAAAATCACATTGTATGATTTTTAAGCAGTTCATTTGCATTTTATTGCATGACATAAGTATTTGATACATCAGAGAAGCAGACCTTAATATTTGGTACAGAAACCTTTGTTTGCAATTGCAGATCGTTTCCTGCAGTTCTTGACCAGGTTTGCACACACTGCAGCAGGATTTTGGCCCACTTTTGAAACTACTCCTTAGTTGCCCTGGCTGTGTGTTTCGGGTCGTTGTCATGCTGGAAGACCCAGCCACAACCGATCTTCAATGCTCTTACTGAGGGAAGGAGGTTGTTGGCCAAGATCTGGCGATACATGGCCCCATCCATCCTCCCCTCAATACAGTGCAGTCGTCCTGTCCCCTTTGCAGAAAAGCATCCCCAAAGAATGATGTTTCCACCTCCATGCTTCACGGTTGGATGGTGTTCTTGGGGTTGTACTCATCCTTCTTCCTCCTCCAAACACGGCGAGTGGAGTTTAGACCAAAAAGCTCTATTTTTGTCTCATTAGACCACATGACCTTCTCCCATTCCTCCTCTGGATCCTCCAGATGATCATTGGCAAACTTCAGACGGGCCTGGACATGCGCTGGCTTGAGCAGGGGGACCTTGCGTGCGCTGCAGGATTTTAATCTTTGACGGCGTAGTGTGTTACTAATGGTTTTCTTTGAGACTGTAGTTCTAGCTCTCTTCAGGTCATTGACCAGGTCCTGCCGTGTAGTTCTGGGCTGATCCCTCACCTTCCTCATGATCATTGATGACCCACGAGGTGAGATCTTGCATGGAGTCCCAGACCGAGGGAGATTGACCGTCATCTTGAACTTCTTCCATTTTCTAATGATTGCGCCAACTGTTGTTTCCTTCCAAGCTGCTTGCCTATTGTCCTGTAGCCCATCCCAGCCTTGTGCAGGTCTACAATTTCATTATCCTTACACAGCTCTCTGGTCTTGGCCATTGTGTAGAGGTTGGAGTCTGTTTGATTGAGTGTGTGGACAGGTGTCTGTTATACAGGTAACGGGTTCAAACAGGTGCAGTTAATACAGGTAATGAGTGGAGAACAGGAGGGCTTCTTAAAGAGAAACTAACAGGTCTGTAAGAGCCGGAATTCTTACTGGTTGGTAGGTGATCAAATACTCATGTCATGCAATAAAATGCAAATGAATTACTTAAAAATCATACAATGTGATTTTCTGGATTTTTGTTTTAGATTCTGTCACTCACAGTTGAAGAGTACCTACGATAAACATTACAAACTTCTACATGCTTTGTAAGTGGAAAAACCTGCAAAATCGGCAGTGTATCAAATACTTGTTCTCCCCACTGTCACCTCGTCATCTTCCATTGTCAATTGCGCTCGTTCCTGTTGCATGTTGTCAGTCATTTCAACCACTAGCTGTCCAACATACATATTCTGCTTCAAAATAAACAAAATTATAACTTTATGCATTATTCTTAAATCAACACTTGAATGTGGGTAAGTTTCATCAAGAAACATTTTTAACAAAACGCTGAGAAAATCACGTTTTGGTCAAAGACTTCGTACGGATGGGATTCAGAACGATGATCAGAACACAGATGGAGGGGATCGAGTCCAACACCCACAAAGCTTCACAGTCGTTTCCTCTTCATTGGTTCCACGTCATATGGTAATGAATTTTGATTTATATGCCATCACCTCTTCACCTTTACAGCGCTTTATACATCACAGACTGTTTCAAAGCAGCTTTACAGAGATAACAGGGAGATACTGATTCAGTGATGCAAACAGAGTTCAGCTGTACAGCAGCTCTAAAAGCATAAAAGTGAACAGTCGTTATTCAGCTGAAGTCACTTCCGTGTTGATTCGGTTCAGTTCAATAACTGTAAAGTTCATCAAACTGGAATGAGTTTATTTCGGCTATACAGCCGCTCTGCAGAAAACAGTGATGTCTTCATCAGCTCAGCTCAGTTCTTATATAATGGTGTCAGTGCTGTCAGATCAGTGATATAGTTGAATATGAAGTGTCCTCAACTAAGCCAGCCAGAGCGACAGTGGCAAGAACACACACTCCATCAGTGACAGAATAGAGAAAACCCTTGGGAGAACCCAGACTCAGTCGGGGAACACTTCTCCTCTGGCCAATGAACCAACAGTGTATGATTATGATTCAGGCAGTAACACAGGTCAGAAATCAGACTGTGGATTGATATCACTCAGAGCATTTCATCCAGCTCCTCCTGATTGAAGATTGAGATACATCACATCACACCGGTATGGATTGCCAGAAAATTCTATCAATGCCAGATGAAAAGGTTAAAGTGGCCAAAATGGCTTTTTTCCCAATCAAATTCAAAACGCATGGATTGTCCCCACTTGATCTGAAGTTTCAAGTGAATGAACACTGGTAAACTGAAGCGCTTAGCTAGCTCATTACTTTTCATAACTTTTTAAGAAATTTTGTTACTTTTATTAAACTATATAACGGACAGGTATGGAACATGAATTATTAAAAATGTTTCTAAACAACACTTTGAACAAGAGAACTAGGTTGTAATAATATACTATTTTTCATGTCAAACATCTTGCATTAGACTCATCTTGCATTGTAAAAACAATCACATATGAATTGTGCAAATTGGGACAAAGCGCCTGTCTCGTTAGCCATGACATAATCAATCAGAGGGACAAAGAAGCACAATTCGCGGTTCAATGTTGGACAGCGCAAGCCTGATGTCATCCTCCACCTGGAGCCGGTTTCGGTACTTGGTTTTCAAGGCAGTCAATTTTGAAAATCCGACCTCGCACAGATAAGATGAGGCGAATGGAAGAAGTAACTTTAGGGCGGCGTCAGACAACTGAGGATTATTCAGTCATCACACAAGAGCAACCAAGAGCTGTAGAGCTCCTCCATGTCAACGGAAAGGTCTTTTCCTGGGCAACTGAAGGGATCTCTGATCGGCAAATGAACTGAAATCCTCACTGAAGTAACGGCCGAATTGTTGTTTAAGTCCTTTAACATGTTGAGCTTCTGTTCATCAAAGGAGCACACAGTCTCTTGCACACAGTCAGCTAAGTTGGGGAACATGTCAACATTTTCATTAATCAGCTGATCGAGCCAAAGATCCAAACGAATGAACTGACTTTCTCTGAAAGAAGCAAGATGTTGGCATCTCTCCCTTGCATCAATGTGTTCAACAAATTCAACCTGCGGAAAAGGTGTGAAACGGCTCTAACCACAGGGGGTCGACCAGGTACCGCCACAACATCGGACTTCACATCAACAAGAAGCGTCCACCTCTGAACGCGATTCGTAGAGGCGATGTAAAGCCCGACCTCTGGAGAGCCAGCGAACCTCAGTGTGAGACAGGAGCTGCTCATGTTCGGCTCCCAGTTCCTGACAAAGCAAGGAAAACAAGCGTGCGTTTAATGAAATCGACCATGTGCACTGCCTGCCTTTAAACCGACTTCCAGAGACTCAGGCATTTTCTCTGGTGCGAGAGATTGGCGGTGAATCATACAGTGGGTCCACTTGGCTAAAGCGGCTGAATGCTGGACACGAGAGACCAGACGATGACCCTCCCAGGCATTGAACAGGCCCTGTCCTGCATTTATCCCACGACATGCCTGCATCCCGTATAAACCCATCCAGAACTTCAAACAATGCCTCGCCAGTTGTGTGCGCTGGAAGAACGTCCTCCTCAGTATTGCCATTTTTGATATATGTGACGTAAGCAGCTGTGCCAGTCCTGCCCATCAGTCGTCTCATCAAGCTTCAGGGCACAGTACTGGCTTTGCATGATGTTAGCTAGCAATCACTCCCTAACGTCGCTTGCCATGTCAGATATGCGGTGGCTAACGGTGTCGTTAGAAAGAGGGATGTCACTGATCTGTGCTGAGACATTCTCTCCAAACATAGCAGGTAAGATCAGCGCCTCTGCAATTGTGTGAGGTTTTTCTAATTTGGCAACTCGTTGCGAGACGTGGAAGGAGACCTGACACCTAGACACCTGTTAGACACTGATGTGTGTTTTAGACACCTGTTAGACACTGATGTGTGTTTGCTGATGTTGCGTTTCTGTTGTGCAAGGCAAGATAACATTAATTTGATAAAATCTAAGGGTTTGTCTTTGAGTGTCGGGTGTTTGGTTTCTAAATGGCGCTTGGATCTGTGGCCACACAGAAGACAACTGAGGGATTCACACGCAACTCACTGAAACCAACAGCAGTCAGCAGACGCTCAAGAGAAAACACACGCTGACACATGATCGACAGCACCAGAACCTATGAGAGATCATCTGTGCAAGACTCATTCTTTTGCATTGTGGAATATATTTAAATATCTGTTGTGCTTCTTCAAAGCAGCTAAAAAAACAACAACTTAACTTAAAGAGCATAACTGTATAAAGCCTGTAATGGTTAAAAAAGCATTAACCCAGCATAAGAAGACATACAGTGATAGAAAAGGGTATTTAACTTAATTTTATTAAAATAATTGATTAACAGTATGTACTCTATACATATCAAGAACACCTTCAAAATACTTGACATCACAAAACAGATCTCAAATCGCGTAAGACTAAGTCGCATCTTGAACACCACTCAATGGCAACTCAATACTGACTAAATTATGGAGCTCTTTTTGTGTATATAATATATAAACATCATCACTCTTTGAGCATTAGGGCAACATCTTTTCAGACACATAAAAATGAGGGATTGTAGCAAATCTTATTATCTAAAAGTCCCTGCATCTGTCCCAGGCGTGCAAACAGAAAACAGCCTTGGTTTGTGAGAGCATCAGAGGTCTTCAAGCCACTGTCCTCACGCAGGAGAAGCGGCTGATCCAGCTCTTCAGGATCACTGTCCTCGCACAGGAGAAGCGGCTGATCCAGCTCTCCAAGCCACTGTCCTCACGCAGGAGAAGCGGCTGATCCAGCTCTTCAGGGTCACTGTCCTCGCACAGGAGAAGCGGCTGATCGAGCAGGATCACACAGGCTGTTGGGCGGAGGTCCAGGAGAGACCCTGGGCAGGACAGTAGATGACCTCCATAAGGCCCGTGGCGGCTTCAAAAGGCCAGCAGCTTCATGGAGGCGAGTGTGCCGGGGCTGATGTCCTCGCTGTGGGAAGCTCGGTGCAGAGAGGGTTCAGACGCGCTGCGGTTGATCTTGGGCAGCGAGTGTTGCAGGAGCTCAATGGAGGACAGGATCTGTGGACACGGATGACAGAAAGCCATCAAGAGTGTGTTATTTCCTGAAACTGCCACAGCTCTCAGAAAAACTGTTCGTCTACATTTTTCAGTTACCAACCAGAATACAGCATTCAACAGTGCTGTGACACAAGCGAGGGTAAGGGATGATGTGCATCCAGCCGGTTGTTCTCTCAGAATAAACCCGACGGGTGATCAGGATCCGGTCTTCATCAGCCTGAGGGGGTTATTCTGAGATCACAACACACACACGCACACACACACACACACACACACACACACACACACACACACACACACACACACACACACACACACACACACACACACACACACACACACACACACACACCTGAAGGGGGTTATTCTGAGATGACACACACACACCTAAACGGGTTTATTCTGAGATGACACACACACACACACACACACACACCTCAAGGGGTTTATTCTGAGATAACACACACACACACACACACACACCTGAAGGGGTTTATTCTGAGATAACACACACACAGACACACACACACCTGAAGGGGTTTATTCTGAGATAGCACACACACACCTGAAGGGGGTTATTCTGAGATAACACACACACACACACACACCTGAAGGGGTTTATTCTGAGATACACACACACACACACACACACCTGAAGGGAATTATTCTGAGAAAACACAAACACACACACCTGAAGGGGGTTATTCTGAGATAACACACACACACACACACCTGAAGGGGGTTATTCTGAGATAACACACACACACACACACACCTGAAGGGGTTTATTCTGAAGTGAAGTGGGATGCAGAGGTTTTGTGGCTTCTACCATCAGACTGCTGAAAGACCTTGGCATTCGTGGACAGGCTCTGCGACAAACAATTAGATCAATCCCTGAAGCGGCCGAAAGAAGCAGCCAGTGGATATGGATTAGGAGGAAGGACCCTTGTTGGGCTCAAAGAGCATCAACATGACCCACTCACTAATCCCCCACCCTATAACCCACTTGAGAACCCATGTCACAACCCTCCATGAGGAGGCTGAACAAGGTATGTGGTCAGCCTTAGGCTTGACTCAGGGAAGAGGACGCCTCCTGTCTTGCATAGTCCCATGGGCAGCGCCATGTAACAAACCAGGCAATTTTCATGATTGGGCATGGGACACAAGCTCAGGTTTGATCACCCTGTAGCTGGCCACCTTTGATGAGGGTGTCTAGTGCTGAAAGGCCGAAACACCCCCTGATTCAAAGGTACATTACTGATGATGTGTCCCAAAATTTACATCTTTCCCATGACAGGGGTACAGCTCCCACGCCACTCTCAACATCAAGGCAAATATCATGTGCATATCATCCATTGGCACAATGGACAGTTTACCATCACGTCCCGTGTTTATGATTCTGAGTATCTGGACTTGTCCAGTGACCGCTGTGAAAGGACAGCTGACAACATAGGAAAGTCAAGTCAAGTCAAGTCAAATATATTTATATAGCGCTTTTCAAAATACAGATTGTATCAAAGCTGCTTCACAGTATCAATCAAAACAACTTAACAGTGTTTGTTTATTACTGGAAAAGACATCCAAGTTTGGTAGAGCTGATTAGTGGTATGATGGGTCATTTAATTTGAATATCCCCAACTGAGCAAGCCAAAGGCAACAGTGGCAAGGAACCGAAAAACTCCATCAAGTGACCCGATGGTGTCCTAAGACTCCATCAGATGACCCAATGGAGAAAAAAAAACCTTGGGAGAACCCAGGCTCAGTCGGGGCCAGTTCTCCTCTGGCGTTTATGAAGTAGAGGCCTGTGTGACAGCTTGGAGAGACAGCTGACTGGAGGGAATAGTCCCCACTGGGGCTGTCATGGGCTAGCTACCCATGGCGGCAGTCTCCGACACTGCTTCAGTTTGTTGGAGACACCCGCCAAATGCTACAGAAAGTGAACAAAGGAACATACCCCTAGAGCCTGCGAGAGCGGGGGCGCAAGATGGCTCAATGACTGACAACATGGTTACAGACCCAGGAACGGACATGACTATGAGCAAGAACATGGCACATGAGACAACCACAACAGCAGCTGGACACTCTCTTCAAGTGTGCACCTGTGGCTGGGCGAAAAAAACATCATACAGGGGGTTGAGGACCCACCAAGGAAAGAGAGAGTGCTTGAGAGAGCAGAAACAAGGGCCTCGCATTGACCAGTACTTCTTACGAAGCAACCAGTCAAATCAGTCGATTGAAGCACAGCGACGGGATAAAAACCAAAGTTCGCAGAGCATCAGCACCATTGTCACTGAGGATGATAAAACAAGCACAGAAATGTTGGTGGAGGAACCCACTCAACCACAGAGACCTCCCAAGGAGGAAAAGATCAAAGGTCACAAACCGAGTGTAAAGTGGCCCAAAACTGTTGAAAAGAGAGAGTGGGAAATAGTCAACAACGACCTGACAAAAATCTTGGAGCAACAAGTGGGCACAGCAGAAAAAAAGCTGGAAAGGATGGGTGACATCATCTACCACTACGGAGAAGAGCACTTTGGAGTAAATACAAGGAGAAGTGACAAAGCAATACCAGCACCAGCCAAATCCAGGAGGCAGCAAGAGATCGAAATGCTGGTCAGAGAGAGAAGGCAGCTGAGAAAGCAGTGGAAGAAGGCCTCAGATACAGAGAGAGAGGGTCTCATGCTACTCCAGGGGGACATCAAGTGTCAGTTGGCAACCTTGCGAAGAGCAGAGAACCTGAGGAAACTTTGCAAGAAGAAGGAACACACAAGAACTAGGTTCTACAAAAACCCCTTCAAGTTCATTAAAGATCTCTTCGCTAAGGAAAAAAGCGGAATCCTGAAAATTCCGAAGCAGGAACTGGAAGAACATCTAGAAAAGGTCAACCATGACCCAAAAAGGCATGAACAAATAGTTATCCCACATGACATCCCACCTATTCAACCTCCCGAATTCAATCAATCTGGAGACTGGCCCTCCAAAATGGAAGGAAGTAGAGAGTACAGTACGGCGCGCAAGATCAGCAGATCAGCATCAGCCCCCGGGCCGAATGGAGTACCGTATAAGCTCTACAAGAACTCACCAGATGTTCTACGCTATCTTTGGAGGCTCATGAGGATAGTGTGGCAGAAGGGAATAATACCTAAGGTGTGGCGAAGGGCTGGAGGGGTGCTGATTCCCAAGGAGAAGGATGCGATAGACATTAGTCAATTCCGGCCAATCTGCCTTCTCAACGTTGAGGGAAAAAACTTTTTCAGCGTGATAGCACGGAGGTTGTCTACCTACTTGGAAAAGAACAAGTACATTGACAAATCCGTACAGAAGGCCGGCATTCCTGGGTTCTCTGGTTGCTTGGAGCATACCAGCATGATCTGGCACCAGATCCAAGCGGCGAAGAGAGACAAGAGAGATATCCATGTCATCTTCCTTGACCTGGCCAATGCCTTTGGATCAGTTCCCCATAACCTCCTCTGGGAATCCTTCAAATTCTTCCACATTCCATCATCCGTCACTAGTCTAGTAAAAGCCTACTTCGAAGACCTGCAACTATGCTTTACAACAGCCGACTTTACAACATCATGGCAGCGCGTGGAAGTAGGCATCATGGCAGGCTGTACAATCTCACCCCTGGCCTTCACAATGGCCATGGAGGTCATCATCAGGGCCTCAAGATGGGTGGTGGGGGGGGGGGAGCGAACTAAGAACGGGATTCGCCTTCCACCTATCCGAGCATACATGGATGACATGACCACCGTGACCACTACTGCAGCATGTGCCAGGCGGCTACTTGGAAAACTGCAGGAGAACATCAAGTGGGCCCGGATGAAAATCAAACCAAACAAGTCAAGAAGCATCTCAATAGTTAAGGGACAGCTTAAAGATGTGAAGTTCTGCATTGGTGATGACCCAATACCAACAGTGTCTGAGCAACCTGTCAAAAGCCTGGGTAGATGGTACAATGCAAGCCTCAGGGACAAAGACCAAGTGCAGCAAGTAAGGCAGGACATTACCAACAGTCTAGAAAACATCAACAGTACCCTTCTGCCAGGGAAGCTCAAGCTCTGGTGCCTGCAATTTGGACTTCTCCCTCGGATAATGTGTCCACTTACTATTTACGAGCTCCCAATAACAACTGTGGAGAAGATGGAGCGAACCATGACTTCATACGTGAAGAAATGGCTCGGCGTCCCACGCTGTCTGACTAACATCAGCCTCTACGGCAAAGGGGTCCTTGAACTTCCTATCACGAGCCTCACCGAAGAGTACAAGTGTTCTAAAGTGAGACTCCAGATGACTTTGAAGGACTCCAGAGACCAGACCATCAGCAATGCCGTTCCATCTCTGTTAACTGGACCGAAATGGACACCATCCGACGCAGTGCAGCAAGCTACATCAGCCCTGAGGCACAGCGACATTGTAGGGCACGTCCAGTTGGGAAGAGGAGGCCTTGGCCTTACGGCAAGCAAGCCAACTTGGCGTAAGGCCTCAACATCAGAGAGGAGGAATATGGTGGTCGAGGAGGTGCGCCGTCAGGAGGAGGCGGTAAGAAGTGGAAAGGCTGTCTCTCTTGCCAAGCAGGGACAATGGATGAGGTGGGAAGGCCTGGAGAGGAGAATCTTTCCACCTGAGATTGCAGTCACCACTCTTAGGCCAGATTTGGTTCTCTGGTCCCCTTCATTGAAGTCTGTTTACATCACTGAGCTCACAGTCCCATGGGAGAATTTAACGGATGAGGGCTATGAACGCAAGAAACTGCGCTATACAGAACTGGCAGCAGACGGTCAACAACGAGGATGGAAAGCGAACGTCTATCCGGTTGAAGTGGGATGCAGAGGTTTTGTGGCTTCTTCTACCATCAGACTGCTGAAAGACCTTGGCATTCGTGGACAGGCTCTGCGACAAACAATTAGATCAATCTCTGAAGCGTGTAATAAAATGCACACACACACCTGAAGGGGTTTATTCTGAGATAACACACACACACAAACACACACACACAC